TTACAAAAGACTATCAAAAAACCTCTTAGAGCTGATAAACAAATTCAGTAAAGTTGCCAGATACAAACTCAACATACAAAAACCAGTAGCATTTCTATATACCAACAATAAAATAGCTAAAACAGGAAATCAAGAAGACAACCCCTTTCACAGTAGCTAAAAAAAAAGCAAAAACCAAAGTGAAAGGTCTCTATAATAAAAACTACAGAAACACAGGAAAAAAAAAATGAAGAGGCAATAAGTAAGTGGGAAGACATTTCATGCTCATAGATTACAAGAATTGACATTGTCAAAATGACCATACTACCCAAAGTAATTGACAGTTCAATGAAATCTCTATTAAAATGCCAATACCATTTTTCACAGAAATAGAAAAAAGAATCTTAATATTTATATGAAACCAAACATAAGCCAGAACAGCTAAAGTAATTGAGTTAAAAAATAAACAAAGCTGGAGGCATCACACTACTTGACTTCAAAACATATTACAAGGCTATAGTAACCAAAATAACAAAGTATTGGTGTAAAAACAAGCATACAGATCAATGGAACAAAACAGAGAACTCAAAAATAAATCCAGGTATTTACAGAAAGCTTATCTTTGACAAAGCCATTAAGAACACACACTGGGCAAAGGCACAAATGGTGCCAGGAAAACTAGATAACTATGTGCAAAGAATGAAAGTGGGTCCGTATCTCTCATCATATACAAATATCAACTAAAAAAATAAAGATTTAAATATAAGACCCACAAAGGTATAAAACTAGTAGAAGAAAACAAAGGGCAAACTCATCAAGACATTGGTCTAGGCAAAGATTTTATGGCCAAGATCTCAAAAGCCCAGGCAACAAAAACAAAAAACAGATAAATAGGACTATGTTAAACTAGAAAGCTTCTTAATATATATATTTTTAGATAAGGGCTCCCTCTGTCAATCAGGCTGCAGTACAGTAGTGTGATCATGGCTTACGGCAGCTCAACCTCCTGGGATCCCATTGTCTTGTCGTAGTGTCCCAAGAAGCTGGGACTACAGGCGCGCTCCACGATGTCTGGCTAATTTTTATAGTTTTTCTCATAGACGGATCTTGCTATGTTTCTCAGCCTGGTCGCAAACTGCCGGGCTCAAGTGATCCTCCTGCCATGGATTCCCTTAATGCTGGGATTACAGGCTAAAGAGCTTCTTCTGCATAGTGAAAGAAACAATCAATAGCGTGAAGATAGCCTCTTAAATGGGACAAATATTTGCAATCTACTCATCCAACATGGGACTAATATCCAGAATATACAAGGAACTCAAACAACTCAACATTAAAAAATAAAGAATCCCGGGCCGGGCGCGGTGGCTCAAGCCTGTAATCCCAGCACTTTGGGAGGCCGAGGCGGGTGGATCACGAGGTCAAGATATCGAGACCATCCTGGTCAACGTGGTGAAACCCCGTCTCTACTAAAAATACAAAAAATTAGCTGGGCATGGTGGCACATGCCTGTAATCCCAGCTACTCGGGAGGCTGAGGCAGGAGAATTGCCTGAACCCAGGAGGCGGAGGTTGCGGTGAGCCGAGATCGCGCCATTGCACTCCAGCCTGGGTAACAAGAGCGAAACTCCGTCTCAAAAAAAAAAAATAAAATAAAATAAAGAATCCCATTAAAAAATGGGCAAAGGACATGACTAGACATCTCTCAAAAGACACAGAAATGGCCAAGTATATGATAAAATACTCAATATCATTAATCATCAGGGATATGCAAATCAAAATCACAATGAGTTATCATCTTACTCCAGATGGAATGGCCATTAGGAAGAAAAAAAGTAACAGACATTGGTGGTGATGTGGAGGAGAGAGAACTCTTCTACACTGTTGGTAGAAGTGCAGTTAAGTATTAGCCACTGTGGAAAACATTTTCGAATTTCTCAAAAAACTAAAAATAGAGCTACCCTACAAATCTAGAAACCCCAATACTGGGCAGTTACCAAAAAGAGATCAATATAACAAAGGAATATATGCACTCCTATGTTTATTGCAGCACTATTCACAATAGCAAAGAAATGAAATCAACCTAAGTGCCCATCAAAGGATGAATGGATAAAGAAAATGTGCTATATATATATATACAATGGAATACTGTATGGCCATAAAAAAGAGTGAGATGTCATTTCCAGCAATACGGATGGAGCTGGAGGTCATTATGTCGAGTAAAATAAGTAAGGCAGAGAAAGGTATTTTTCAAAATAGCCAGAAGACCTTAAATGTACCCAACACATATATATGGTAAATACTTGGGTGATGGATACTAAATACTGACTTGATGATTATACATTCTTCGCATTTAACAAAATTTCACATGTACCCAACAATTATGTACAAATATAATGTATCAAGAAAACAAAGGAAAAGAAAAAAAAAACCTTAAAGGTAAAGTTGGCTAACTTGGAGAAATTTTCTTTTTTTGTGTGTGTGTGAGACAAAGTCTCACTCTGTTGCCCAGACTGTAGTGAAGTAGCATAATCCTGGCTCACTGCAACCTCCGTCTCCCAGGTTCAAGCAATTCTCCTGCCTCAGCCTCCTCAGTAGCTGGGGCTACAGGTACACGCCGCCACCATGCCCAGCTAATTTTTTGTATTTTTAGTAGAGACAGGTTTTACCAAGTTGGCCAGGTTGATCTCCAATTCCTGACCTCAGGTGATCCATCCACCTCGGCCTCCCAAAGTACTGAGATTACAGGCATGAGCCACAGTGCCTGACTGAAATTTTCTAATCTTGTCTTTAGGGGTAGTTTTGACAGTGGGAGAATGCATTGATAAGGATTAAGGAGGAAAACAGCAGGTAGATATTTAAATGTTCTTATTCTGAAATGCAGTTCTGTAACAAGTATCCAGAGTTAATGGATAAAAAATTAGAAAACACTCTGATTCTTTTTAAAAGAAAAGGCCCCTTTTCCGAGTGTGTGTCCTTGCCTACGTTGGTGTTTATAAAAATATCCCCCAGGCCGGGCACAGTGGCCTATACCTGTAATCCCAGCACTTTGGGAGGCTAAGGCGGGTGGATCAACTGAGGTCAGGAGTTCAAAACCAGCCTGGCCAACATGGCGAAACATCGTCTCTATTAAAAATACAAAAATTAGCCAGGCATGGTGGCAGGCACCTTTAATCCCAGCTATTCAGGAGGCTGAGGCAGGAGAATCACTTGAATTCAGGAGGCAGAAGTTGCAGTGAGCAGAGATCATACCACTGCACTCCAGCCTGGGTGAAAGAGAGAGACCCTGTCTCAAAAAAATTAAAAAAAAAGACCCCCAGAAATAACACATGGTAATGATAATAACAATTATTGGGCACTTATATGGCCAACCCAGTTCTATGTACTGTAACCTTATCAATCCTATATTTGTACCTCAATCCTACAAACAGAAAGTATTATCATCTGTATTCTACAGATGACAAAACTGAACCATAGAGAAAGAATTTATGAAACTTAGTCACGGTCAGATAGCTGATCAGTGGAGGGACAAGGATTTGAAAGCCTGACTCAGGCAGTCTGGGTGAAATTGGCCTTCTTCTTTAATTACCATATAGTTGTAATGTGGCTGTCATGGATTAAGAAAACATGTAATGACCAAATAATCGAATAAGACTACTCTGAATTCAATAATACTTAATTGAAACAGTACACTATAAACTGAAATGGCATTTGTGCCATAAAATGATACTGTGTGACATGCATATGGATTTAAAGACCCCGTGTAATAACTCTCTGGTAGTCACTCTGTAGTCCACTGATTACAAGTTGGGAGCCGCTGATGAGAAAATAAGATAATATATAACCAAAGGATATAAGGCCAAAGCAGTGAAAACAATATTGCAGAGCTCCGAGATGCAAAAGAAACTTTATGGAGGCTTGGCCTAAGAGGGGTAATGAAAAAGCATTTGTTACCAGTAAGGGAATGGAAGTAAGAATAAGCAAGTCAGGTTTTTTTTTTTTGAGACAGTCTTATGCTGCTGCCTAGGTTGGAGTGCAAGTGCAAGGGGGAATCTCAACTCACTGTAACCTCTGCCTCTGGGTTCAAGCAATCCTTGTTCCTCAGCCTCCTGAGTAGCTGGGATTTCAGGCGTGGGCCATCATACCCAGCTAAACTTTGTGTTTTTAAGAGACAAGGTGTCACCATGTTGGCCAGACTGATATCAAACTCCTGACCTCAAGTGATCCTCCCACCTTGGCCTCCCAAAGTGCTGGGATTACAGATGTGGGCCACTGCGCCTGGCCTGCAACTCAGGTTTTTAAACAGGGAATAAAAAGAGTATTTTGTTATCTGGCAAGATTATGTAAGACTAAAAGAGAAAGAGAGCCCAGTTAGGCTTTTAGTAAAATAGGTGAAGTGTTTGATGTGTTTAACATAAAGCCAAACAGAGAGAAAACAGAGAAACTGGAACAATATTTTAAAGCAGTAATAGGTCTCTGGTGACTGATACATATAGAGGAGAAAGAAAATAGACAAAAAGTGTCTCTAAAGTCAAAACTTACAAAACCCCATGGTGCCACTGGTCTAACTAAGCAATTTGGTTATGTTGAGTTTGATGAGATATGTGAAATGTGTGAGGAATTTATTCTCTAGGCAGCTAGAAACACAACTGTGAGATCTGGGTCAGTAGTTGTAGTCATGTCCAGGGATATGGATCTAACTATAGATTATTATATACAATACACATAAAATCACTGAAATCCTGAGCATGGCCAGGTTTTCTCAGGGGGATAGGGAAGAACAGACAGAGAATGAAGTAACAACCATAATTAGAAAATATGTGGGAAGAACGAATAATAATTTCAGAACAGAAAGAGACCTAGAGGTCATTAACCCACTCTTTTTACAGTAAATCAGATAGGTAAAAACAACCAAGGCAGAGAGGAAGTGGAAGAACATGGACAGAAAGCCAGATAGCCTCCAGTAGGCTGACAATCTTCATGGAAATTTTTTCTCTGTAGACATTTTCTCTAAGTAATAATTACCTTAATAATATCATCAGTTCCTTGAGTAACAGGTTTTGATTTGAGTTCTTCAATTTCTTTCTCCAATTCTAAACAATTAAAAAATAAAGGACTCCAGTTCAGAAATAAAGAAAATAATTACTGAGAAACTGATTAAGTACATTCTTATAAAATCCCAGACATCTGCAAATTAGAATAAATTTAAGCAGATATTTTGAAAAAGTATTTTCACCCACATAATATTATTTTTTTCTTTTCTTTTCTGGAAAACTTCAAACAAATAGAAAAGTACAGAGAATAGTATGATTAATCTCTGTGTACTCACCACTATGCTTTAGCATTATTACACGGCCAATTTTGTTTCCTCCCAACCTGTAACTCACTTCCTCCTTCACTGCTTTTCTTATCCATCCTGATAATTTTCAAGCATACCCCAGACATCATATTATTTCATGTAAGTACATCTTAATATATAACCTTAAAGCAACAATCCCGTATTAAGAATAAACGTTACTGAGAACAGCCTGGCCAACATGGTGAAACTTTGTCTCTACTAAAAATACAAAAATTAGCCAGGCATGGTGGCGGGCACCTGTAATCCCAGCTACTCGGGAAGACTTGGGAGGCTGAGGCAGAAGAATCACTTGAATCTGGGAGGGGGAGGATGCAGTGAGCCTAGATTGCGCCACTGCACTCTAGCCTCGGCGGTAAGAGCGAGACTCTGTCTCAAAAAAAAAAAAAAAAGAATAAATGTTAATCTAAGTGTTTTATTAGCACATGTACAGATGTCAGGCCTAGAACTTCTTTCCAAATAAATTACTCTCTCTTCCTCACAAGGTGATCCAAACTCCCAAGACATAATATTATCTTTTCTAATAGAAAATAAGTCTTTGCTTTTAGGCTAAGCAGTTAACATTTGTAAGTCATTGGAAATTCAAGAGTTCATGTATACATACTAAAAAAAAAGATACTAAAATCTTTTTCTTCTGGAATAAAAAGAAAACTGAGACAGCCCCGGTGGCTCCCACCTGCAATCCTAGCACTTTGCGAGGCCAAGGCGGGTGAATTGCCTGAGTTCAGGAGTTCGAGACCAGCCTGGGCAACACATGAAACCCCAACTACACTAAAACACAAAAGAATAAGCTGGGCGTGGTGGCATGTGCCTGTAATCCAAGTTACCCGGGAGGCTGAGGCAGGAGAATTGTTTCAACCTGGGAAGCAAGGGTTGCAGTAAGCTGAGATCGCGTCACTGCAATCCAGCCTGGGCAACAGAGCTAGGCTCCATCTCTTCAAAAAAAAAAAAGAAAGAAAAGAAAAAGAAAACCGAATAGGAAATCAATCAACCAATGTCTGCAAATGGAAATCTTTTATTATTTTAGTTGAGGAAGCCTTTTATCTCTTTGGGGTTCTAATCTTGTGTCTCTTTTTTCAACTGACTTCTCTTGAAAAAAAGTTTTACTCAGAAGAATCTAAAGTCTACAGGAAGGAAAAACACGCTTAACTTACAAAAACTTTTAAAAGCCTCCTCCCTGACTTTATTTTAATAACACAAAAGTCACTGTGGTTTACAGATGTGGGAATAACTTAAAACTCAGAGGTAAATAGTTACAACGTTAAATAACAGATTCTACTACACTAAGATATATTTGAATCACTGGAAAACAAACAAAAAAGTCAATGCATTATTTTAAAAACCACCATTTTAAACCACAATTAAAGAGACTGTGATCAAGATGAGTATTTTCAACCCAATACCTGTACACCTTGATTTAGCTTTCTGTATTAGCATCATCTGCTTCTTGGCAAACTTGATGAGATCTTCTTTGGGCAATGTTTCCAGCTGAAAGATGTGGTCGTGTTACCAACTTGTTATAACTCATGTTCCTAGTACACCACAAAAAAGAAACATAATGTCTGCCAGAAAACAAAAACATTCTACTGAATAAATCTTTACGCCAACAACATACTTTGTTCCACATTTTTTGTTTGTTTGTTTGTTTTTTTGAGACGGGGTTTCGCTCTTGTTACCCAGGCTGGAGTGCGGTGGCGCGATCTCGGCTCACCGCAACCTCCGCCTCCTGGGTTCAGGCAATTCTTCTGCCTCAGCCTCCTGAGTAGCTGGGATTACAGGCACGTACCACCATGCCCAGCTAATTTTTTGTATTTTTAATAGAGACGGGGTTTCACCACGTTGACCAGGATGGTCTCCATCAGTTGACCTCGTGATCCACCCGCCCTGGCCTCTCAAAGTGCTGGGATTACAGGCGTGAGCCACCGCGCCCGGCCTGTTCCACATTTTTTTTTTTGAGACGGATGTACTCTATTTCCCAGGCTGGAGTGCAATACACGATCTTGGTTCACGGCAACCTCCGCCTCCCAGGTGCAAGCGATTCTCCTGCCTCAGCCTCCCGAATAGCTGGGATTACAGGCCCTACTACCAGGCCCAGCTAATTTTTGTATTTTTAGTAGAGATGGGGGTTTCACCATGTTGGCCAGGCTGGTCTTGAACTCCTGACCTCAGGTGATCCACCCGTCTCAGCCTCCCAAAGTGCCGAGATTACAGGTTTAAGCCATGGCTCCCGGTCACATTTTTTAAAATTAGCAAATGCAATTGCAAGTACATAATTGCCAAGCAACTACTAAAAATGTAAAAATTAGTTATGCAACTACTATGAAATGTAAAAACCAGGGCATATCCTCTTAGAGCTAATGTTACAGGTTGACATTTGCTAGGTTTTGATTTCTTTAACTGTAAAATTAGTGGGTTAGAACTAATGCTACTTAAAATTCCTTGGAGCTGTAAAATAATTTCATGCTATTCGAGGCTGAAAGTCTTTGGTCACAAGAAAATTTCAGCATAATTACAGCATCAAGATGATCCAGTAACATTCAGCCTTTAATTAAAAAATTAAGCTTTACCACTTGAGAAAATAGCTTAAGTCTTGTGGTCTCAGGGTTTCTCATTTGTAAAGTGAGGGTAACAACAGTACCTATCTCATGGTTATCATGAAGGCTTAAATGCACTGAGTGGTTAGGCAAGTGCCTGAAATTCAGCATGCAGACGATAAACCTTAGCAATAAACCACTATCGTTCAGAATGATTGAATGTTAAACATTGTACAGGGCCATAAAACAGGACTAATTCAACTCTTTTTCACAATGTAGAAACTGGAGCCTACAGATCAGAATCCCTTGATTCCTATTCTACGTCACTGCTCCTTCTACTACATCATCACTATATAAACCTTCTTAAATTAGACAGCTTTGTTTAATGTCCGAAAAATCGCAGGATCTTTCAGCAGTACTAACCAGGAGCAGGAAGTAAACAAAAAGTCTTCTTATATCAAGGCACAGAGGGGAAAAAGAAAGAAACAGGAAATGGACGGGTGACTGCGTAAATTAAAATTGAGATCCCTTACAGCAAGGCTATTTTTTTTTAAAATAGCCCCCTCCCTCCGCCCGCCAAAGTTTTCCAATTCATCACCCTTCCACACTCTTCAGGGAGTCCTCTAGTCAAGTATTCTCTTCACCTTAGATTTTCCGGTCCCAGGGGTAGCTGGTGAAGCCACCCCATCTTGAACAGGATCCTGCAAAACAAAATCAAACCCAGGTGTCAGAAGAACTCTTTTCCTAATTCCAGACGGAAAGCGTGGTAAGGTTTCCACGCTTTCCGTCTGGAATTAGGAAAAACCCTCTGTGCAATCAAGTGGGGGAAAGCCTTGTGAGACAGAGAATGAGGGGGGACAGAGGCGATCGCTGTGGGAAATCGTATACAAACCGGCTCTAAGGGGACAGGTAACCGCCAGGGATGGAGTTTAGGGAAGATGGGGAGGCGAAGGCAGCGCGGATTTCCGGGCACCGAGCGGGAGACTGCCGCGCCGTTCCACCGGGCCCACCCCCAAATCCCAAATCGCCGCGCAGAAGGCTTGATGGGAGGCAGTGGGCCCGAACTGTTACCTCCATCTCCGCCTGCCAGCCGCGGCCCCAGAACCAGCAGCCGCCACCGCCACACTTGTTTGCGCCCGACTCTGACGTAGGCTCGACTGCAGGTCAAAGGTCGCGCTCTCCGGTCGGCCCGCCCCCCATGTCTCCATAACTACGGCTCGGCAGCAGTTCCGCTTCCGCCTCTGGGTCCGGGAGAAGGTTCCCCTCCGGGCGCTAGCCGAGGGCGGAGTCCTTGTCGACATTCCACCTGCGTCTAGACCCTGTCTGGGCCTGCGGGTCAGGGAGTAGGTGTGGGTCACGCCACTACCTTTTATTAGCATGGGAACGCAGGCCGATTACCCCTTGGGGCCTCGGGCCTCAGTTTCCACGTCTGTAAAATCTTGTGAGAGTCAGGAGAACATTCGATTGGAGGACAGCTCCTTCAGCGCCCCCCTCCAAGGGTAGCTGCTGGCCTGCCAGTGCTTGCGGGACCCACAGCTGCTTCCGGGGGGCTGCTTAAGCATTTGTGGCTAGCATGTTGCCCGGGAGCGCCCCGACTCACAGGTCAGAGTTGGGGGGCTTCCCTGAGGAGGTATTTATTGGCTCTGGATGCCTTGAGGAGGTCCTGGGACAGCTCTTCCCTGCAGCTACCCGGTACTGATGGTGACCTGGTGGAGGCAAGATAGTCGGCCAGGGAACAGGGAAGCCAAGCGAGGAGACTCTGCCCCGAGGGCACGCCGAAGAATCTGTAGTCGAATCCCAGGGCTGCTGCTGAGTCCTGATTGGCGGTCCAGAGCTCTGAGGGCCTTTCTGTGAACTGCTGAAATGGTTTACTGCACTTTTACCTTCCCATTAAGGTTTTCCATATACTCCAATAGCTAAGGTCACCTGAAGATAACCCAGTTTCCTGTAGTTTGAAATGGCCAAACGGATGAAGAGGCAGCATACAGTACTTATCCAATAAATGGTAGCTGATTATTACTAGGTAAAGGAAGTGTTATATAACCAAACGAGAAAGCACAGCTATTGCTGACATTTCGCTAACATCTACTCTTTGTCTTTGACAGTGTATCACCCATGGTGTTTGACTGTCTTTGGTTCAGGGGTGGTATGTGACCTAAGATGTACAGTCAGAAGTTTTGAAACTTCTGTTTAGTATTTTGGTTTAGTGATAATTCTGTCTCTGTGGATGTGATTGAGGAAACATACAGCCCTGATTGCTGTTGGTAGACATCTGCCCCTATGGTAGAAAGCAGCCTGAAGACAAAATTGTTAAGAAGAAAAAGGGCCAGGCACAGTGGCTCACGCCTGTAATCCCAACACTTTGGGAGGCCAAGGAGGGCGGATCACGAGGTCAGGGGATCCAGACCATCCTGGCCAACACGGTGAAACCATGTCTCTACTAAAAATACAAAAAAAGTAGCTGGGTGTGGTGGTGAACGCCTGTAGTCCCAGCTACTCGGGAGGCTGAGGCAGGAGAATTGCTTGAACCCAGGAGGCGGAGGCAGTGAGCCAAGATGCCGCCACTGCACTGCAGCCTGGGCAACAGCGAGAGACTGTCTCAAAACAAAGCAAAAAAAAAAAAGGAAAAATGCAGAGCCCAGACATCCCCAGAGGAATGAAGCTGGAGCTCTGATCAATTATCAGTGAGTCAGTAAAGTCCCTTTAAGTGATCCAGTTAACACTGGGTTTTGCTGTTACTTGTAAGAGTGTACACATCTTTTGGGAGGAAGAGTTATCCAACTTGAAGAAAAAAATATCTCTCTGTAATGAGATGACTAGAGAAAATGTTCATAATTCTGGACACTGTGCAATGGTATAAAATGGGCAACTTTGATACTAGAGTAGAAAAATTACCTCAGACAACATTTTAGAAGAAAAGATCTAAGAGCCACCAAAATTTTATGGCAGCACTTGCTATTAAAGAAGCATTCTTCTTGAAATCTGTCAAAAGACTGGGTGCGGTGGCTCACGCCTATAATCCCACACTTAGGGAGGCCAAGGTGGGCAGATCACTTGAGGTCAGGAGTTCGAAATCAGCCTGGCCAACATGGCGAAACTGTGTCTCTACTAAAAATGCAAAATTAGCCTGGCATGGTGGTGCATTCCTGTAGTCCCAGCTACTTGGGAGGCTGAGGCAGGAGAATTCACTTGAACCCAGGAGGTGGAGGTTGCAGTGAGCTGAGACTGCGGCACTGCACTCCAGCCTGGGTGACAGAGTGAGAGTCCATCTCAAAAAAAAAAAAAAAAAAAAACTGGCACAAGACAAGAAAAGAATGCCCTCTCTCAGTACTCCTATTCAACATGGTATTGGAGGTTCTGGTCACAGCAGTCAGGCAAGAGAAGTAAATAAAGGGCATTCAAATAGGAAGAGAGGAAACTTCTTGTTTGCAGATGCCATGATCCTATATCTAGAAAACAGATATAGGATATAGAAAATCCTATACATAGGATATAGAAAATCTATAGATATAGCCCAAAAGCTTCTTAAGCTGATAAGCAACCAGAGCAGTCTCATGATACAAAATCAATATGCAAAAATTGCTAGCATTCCTATACATTGACAACAGTCAAGCTGAGAGCCAAATCACAAACTCATTCACAATTGCCTCAAAAAGAATAAAGTGCCTAGGAATACAGCTAACAAGGGAAGGGAAAGAGCTCTACAAGGAGAACTACCACTGCTCGAAGAAATCAGAGACGACACAAACAAATGAAAAAATATCCCATGTTCATGGATAGGAAGAATTAATACCATTGAAATGACCATACTGCCCAAAGCAATTTATAGATTCAATGCTATTTCTATGAAACTACCATTTACATTCTTCACATAATTAAAGATATTTTAAAATACATATGGAACGAAAAAAGAGCCCAAATAGCCAATGCAATCCTAAGCAAAAAGATTAAAGCTGGAAGCATCATGCTACCTGACTTCAAACTATACTGCAGGGCTACAGTAACCAATATAGCATGGCACCGGTACAAGAGCAGACACATTGACCAATGGAACAGATATAAGACCATATACCTACAACTATCTGATCTTCAACATACCTGATGAAAACAAGCAATGGGGAAAGGATTTCCTAGTCAATAAATGGTGGTGGGATAACTGGCTAGCCATAGGCAGAAGATTGAACTGGACCCCTTTCTTACACTATGTAAAAAAACTAACTCAAGATGAATTAAAGACTTAAATGTAAAACCCAAAACTATAGAAATCCTGGAAGACCACCTAGGCAGTACTATTCAGGATATAGGAATGGGCAAAGATTTGACGACAAAGACGCCAAAAACAATTGCAAGGTGAAAAGCAAACATTGACAAATGCGATCCAATTAAGAGCTTCTATATAGCAGAAGAAACTATCAACAGAGTAAACAGACAACCTACAGAATGGGAGAAAATTTTTGCAAACTATGCATCTGACAAAGGTCTAATATCCAGCATCTATAACAAACTTAAACAAATTTACATGATAAAAACAACCTATTCAAAAGTGGGCAAGACATGAAAAGACACTTCTCAAAACAAGACAGACATATGTCCAACAAACCTGAAAAAAAAGCTCAACATCATTGATCATTAGAGAAATGCAAATCAAAATCACAGTGAGATACTATCCAGGTAGAATGACCATTATTAAGTAAAAAAATAACAGATGCTGGCAAGGTTGTGGAGAAAAAGGAATGCTTATATACTATTGATGGTAGTTCAACCATTATGGAAGACAGTGTGGTGATTCTTCAAAGATATAAAAACAAATGCAATTTGACCAGCAATCCCATTACTGGGTACATACCCAAAGGAAAAGGAATTGTCCTGTCATAAAGACATGCATAAAGACATACATGCACATGTATGTTCATTGCAGCACTATTCAGAATTGCAAAGACATGGAATCAACCTAAATGCCCATCAATGATAGACTGGATAAAGAAAATGGTGTACATACACACCATTGAATACTATGCAGCTATTAAAAGAAACAAGATCTTGTTCTTTGTGGGGACATGAATGAAGCTGGAGGCCATTATCCTCAGCAAACTAATGCAAGAACAGAAAACCAATACCACATGTTCTCAATTATAAGCGGGAGCTAAATGATGAGAACAAATTGACATATAGAGGGGAACAACACACAGTGGGCCTAATGGAGGGGTTCGAGGGTGGGAGGAGGGAGAGGATCAGGAAAAATAACTAATGAATACTAGGCTTAATACCTGAGTGATGAAGTAATTAGTACAGCTGCCATGACATATACTTACCTATGTAACCTGCATATGCTCCTGAACTTAATTAAGAAGAGTGGATAAATGATTTCCACAGATAGTATTGTTAAAACTCAAGACTTTGAGCAGCGTAAGAGGAAAAGAGGGATTTCTACATCAAGTATGATATATTGCGTTTTATATAGCAGGCATTCCATGAATATTTAATTGAACCAATTAATGTATTAAAGGATCAAGGAACAAAACTTAAGATCACTAGTTAATTTTTCCCCAGGTTTTGAGTAAGCTTAAAGCTGAAACTTCAGGGTAATTGTTCTATCTGGTGATACAAATGAAGTTATAGCATTTTTTTCCTTTCTGGTATGGAATCCAGTCTGGGATCAGGTATTACATTTGTCTTGTCTCTTCAGGCTCCTTTTTCTGGAGCACTTACACAGTTTTTCTTGGTCTTTTAAAAAATTAACATTTTCAAAACTGTAGTTTTCCCCATCTTTTATTTTTTCAATTAACATGTAGTAGAATGGATTTTCCTTTAGCATACAGTTCCTTGAATTTTAATACACTTAGAAACATGTACCCATCAGCACAATCAAGTTTCAGAAAAGCTCTACTTTCTCCCTGACTCCCTCATACTAGTCTGTTATAGCCACATTCTCCTTCCATCCCCAATTCCTGGCAACCATGAACTGTTTTTTTTATCACTATACTTTTGTCCTTTCATGAATATAATGTAAATGGAAATAAACAGTATGAACCTTTTGAGACCAGCTTCTTCCACTCAGCATATTGCCTTTGAAATTTATCCAAATTGCTGCATTTATCGATAATTTGTTCCTTTTTATTGCTAAGTAATATTCATGGTATGGATGTATGACAATTTGTTTGTCCATTCACCAACATTTTGATTTGTTTTCAGTTTTGGGTGATTATGAATAGAGCTACTATAAACATTAATGTACAGGTTTTTGCAGAAATGTAAGTTTTTGTTTCTCTGTGGTAAATATCTAGGAGTAGGATTTTCTGGACTCTACAGTAAGAATGTGTTTAACCTTTTTCTTCTTTCTTTTTTCCTTGTTTTTTTGAGACAAGGCCTCACTCTTTCACCCAGGCTGAAGTGCAGTGGTGTGATCATGGCTCACTGCAGCCTTGAACTCCTAGGCTCAAGAGATCTTCCCATCTCAGCCTCCTAAGTAGCTGGGGCTACAGGCACATGCCACTATGCCTGGCTAATTTTTTATTTTTGTAGACATGAGGTCTTACTATGTTGCTCAGGCTGGTTTGAACTTCTGGCCCTCAAGCAATCCTTCTACCTTGGCCTCCAAAGTGCTGGGATTACAGTCATAAGCCACTGTACCCAGCCATATTTAACTTTTTAAGAAACTGCCAAACTGTTCACCCTGATTATTACCCGGGATAACACCAAGAGATGATCTTTTTCTGGGGATGGCTGCATTTAGTGACCAACTGCTTGAGCAAGGGGCACAAA